CAGCCCTGCCAAAGGTTGCAACTTAAGATCAGAGATTCAAGGCAGTGCTATAAATAAGCCGAGTTTTATTTTCCTACAGTCAGCTTGGTTTTTGCTACTGTTTGCTGTCGTAAATGTGGTAGATATCAGATCCACCCACAGACAGTCCTGCCTGGAGCCTCCCATGGTGCCTCTAGTCAGGTGCCTTTGGCAAGGTGGCCAAGCCAGGCCACAGTGGTGGCTGTAGCATGGGGAATGTTCCAGGCAGTCACTCAACATCACTAGATTAGGGAAGCCAACCCTTGTTCTACTGTCTTGCTCCAGGTATAACCCATCAGCCAAACCTCCTTCAATACTAGCTCTCATCTTCTGACCTGGTCAGAAATGTTTACCAGCAAGGGCCACCTTCCTCTGCACATTCTATTTAAATATTTTCCAGCTTATCTGAGGGAGGCAGGGAGGCCCTGCAGATGATGGCTTCAGGAAGTTTTAGTCCCATGGAGGCCCCTGGCTGGGGCTGTTATCTCCCACCCAAATTGGAGGCAGCTGCTGCCAGACATATAAGAAACTCAGATGTGCCAGAACAAAATCAGGTGTGATCGTTTACATTCAGTAAATGATGGTGCGAGTGCAGACTGTCACAGAGAGATCTGTCTTCCTGCCAATTTCCACCCAAAACAGGCTAGGATTTTTAAGAGGGGACAGTCCTGGTGGGAGTGGGGACAGGGAGGGTCTGGACCAAGCACTGAGAAAGAGGCCTGCTAGGCAAGTCAAGCCATGTGATTGATTGAGGGAGGGGCTTTGGCCTTGATTCAAAACTAGGCTGACCCAATACCCTGGTTTGCCTGGAACAGCCATGGAGTATGCCTGCCATCCAAGTTGCATTTTTAATAGTGCCCCTTTCACTCACAAGAAAAGTCCATGTTTAGAGGATAAGTTCTGTGATTACCCTATTCCAAAGATGAGAAGGAGTTAGGCTAGAAATGCATCTGCAGAGTGACATGTAGGATGTGGGACCCCAAGAAGTTTACCTGGTAGTGCCTGGAGGAGAGAGACGAGTGATAAAGGACCAGGTTGGTTCCTTCTCAAGCATATTTAGAATTACAGCCTTGTCAGCAATGTCCACTCATGACTTTGGGAAGTGTGATGCTGGAAGGGTCTTTGGGATGGTCTAATTTACCTTCTCTTTTACTGGAAGAGGACATTAGGGTAAAAGATAAAAGTGACTCGCCCAAGGTTACATTCTGGTTGCTGGCAGAGTGGGGATAGAAACTTGTCCTTAAGGGATCAGGTCCAGGTACTCTTTGCTGGGACAGAGGGAGACAGAGGACACTGAAAGAGGCCGTAGAGAATGAACAGACACATGGGACCTTCCACGGAAGCTCTAGGACAGGGAAGCACCACAGACTACCCCACAGTTCCTAGACAGGGGGTGGGAGGGCAAGGACTGGTGAGGTTTAGACTTGCTGAGCTTGCTTGGACATGCGCTCAGGTGACACCTGGAGTCACAGCGGAGTGCAGGTGGAGCCAAGGGCAAATGGGCTTTCCAAGGTATCGACTAAGAGGCACTGAAGCAATTAATTGGCAATAGAACTAAGAATCAGTGAAGAAAGAGGTAGGTATGGAGATCAAACACCAACAGGGTCAAATGAGTAATTTATGGAATCTAATACTGTTCTATGGTTCAAACTGTAGCGAAATCTCACTGAGATGCAACCCCCGATAACAGCTGCCTTACCCTTGGATATCGCTTCTCTAGCCCCTTCTCAGGTCTGCAGTGGTGGGCAAACCTTAAACCAGTAACAACTTCTACCTCTGCCTGATAGATGGGAAACTGAGTCACAGAGAAGCTGGCTTTCTCCGATCTTACAGGACCCTCAGCAAGAAGGGTGTGATTAACAAGACTTGAGAGCTGACTCCACAAGCCTGCCACCCCAGTAGCCCTCATGGTCCCATGGCAGTCACACCTCCTGTGTGTGCCCTTGTGGTGGTGAAGGGGTGGGGTGGTAGATTTTTCTATGAATTTGCTCATCTCAGTGGGGCCTCCCCAGGAAGAAGTCGAGCATGAGAGTCTGGGGATCCTGCTTTCTGGTCCTAATCCTATTGCCAGCAGATGAGCTGTGCAATGGTGGCTAGTCACTCCTCTTCCTGTCCCTCCTGCTCTTCCTGGTTGTCAGATAAAGGTTCTGGCTTTAAAAAGTCTCAATGCTTTTGTCTTTGCAGGGGGATCTGACCTTGGTTCAACCATCTGTTTAGCTGTGAGTTCATCTCTTGCATCTTCTTGGCAATCTGTCTATAGAGCATCTTCACAGGTTAGGCAAGGTGCAGCCATGCGATCGAGGGAGGGACTTTTGACTTGATTCAAAATTAGGCTGCCTGGGACAATCATGGACCATGCCTGCTATACAAGCTGTATTTTTAATGGTGCCCCTTTAAATATTTGTCCTCAGGTCTTGATTACCTTTGACAATGTAGGAATGCAAAAATATGCATGCAAAACATAATTTTTAAAAATATCAGCTGGGTGCAGTGGTTCATGCCTGTAATCCCAGCACTTTGGAAGGCCGAGGCAGGTGAATCACCTGAGGTAAGGATTTCAAGACCAGCTTGACCAGTATGATGAAACCCCCTCTCTACTAAAAATACAAAAAATTAGCCAGGTGTGGTGGTGGACACCTGTAATCCCAGCTAGCCAGGAGGCTGAGACAGGATAATTGCTTGAACACAGGAGGCAGAGGTTTCAGTGAGCCGAGACTGCCACTGCACTCCAGCCTGGGGGACAGAGCAACACTCTGTCTCAAAAAATATATATCATATTTGGCCAAGATCTGTTTTTTGCCTCCAACAAGTTTTCATGAGGTTAAGTTAAATATGTGAAATTATTGCAGACAGTCTGCAAACTGGATAGCTCACTAGAGCAAACATACAATCACCTTCAGGCTGACTGTAGTCAAAATAATCTACTGTCACCCTGCATAGATTTTCTCACATAACATCTACAAAAACCCAGCATACCATTGTCACACACACAGTGCCTTCTGATATGTGACATTAGAAAACCTCAATCTCCTGAAAAAAAAAATCATAAAATAGTTTCTGTATATATGAACTCAGCACACGTTTTTGTTCAGTGAAACTTCTTTCTTTGATGATGCCTGTTCAAATATTTGCGAATATTGAGAAAACACACACAGAAATCATCCTCTGTTGCTCAGGCCACACAGTCTGCAGAAACCAACAGGTAAGACACAAAATACTGAATGCCACTGGAGATCACACAAATTCCAGGACACCTCAGGCCATCTGAGGCTTCCTGTCCCAACCCCAAACTGTTAGTTTCTCACCAAATGTGCTAGAGAAGCCAGCCAGGACATTATAAAATCAGCAACAAGGTGACATGGTAAGAGGAGGAGGGGCCTTTGGATAGCATCTCTTTTCAGCTCTCGCTCTAGATGTGAAGAAACTCAGAGGGGGCTATGGCATCCCAGGTTATGAAGGCCATGAGGACCGCTAAAAACAGGCCTGGAGGTGTGGTCTCTGGGGCTGGGCTCCGTCGCTGCCCTCTCTGCCCCACAATACTTCTGAGATGCCCATGTAACCTACATGGGAACCCAGGAGTTTCACCTCCTGAAAATAGTGAGGGATGGACAGTAGCAGAAGAACAAGAGAGGAGAAAAAAGAAGCAGATGGTAGGAGAAAACACTGGATGGAGGGAAGAAAGACCAAAGGCCCTGTGTCCTCATCACCTTGAATAGTGAGCAGAGAAAAGAGGTGAGCACCCAGGGCCTAAGAGCTGCTTCAAGGTCATGGAGCGATGGAAAGCCAGCCTGCACCTGGAAGGAAAGGTCCTTGCAGAACGGAACTTAAAGCAGGAAATGGAGAATTGAGTGTGCAAAACAAGAAATGCCTATGTGTCTGAATCTATGTCATTCTAAGTCAGTGTATCAGACGCCCAGGACTCTGACAAATCAGGTTTCCCAGGCAAACCCAACACTTGGTTTGGGCAGCACTTCTTTATTATAAAACTAACATCACTGAAACCTTTTTTTTTTTAAAGACCAAAAATATCACATCTTAGGCAAATGAGTTGAAAATCCCTCAGAGTGACACCCTATCTTTTTCCACCCATTTCTAAAGTCAGAGGACACCTGGTGAAGAAACTGGTTTTTAGGTAAAGTAATGCAATTCCTGATGCACGCGGTTTCCTGGTGGTACTGCACTGAAGTGACATCATGGAAATGTTTGTGCCTCAAGGTCAGTCTGCAGGGTTTCTGGGTGAAAGCATGAGTCTTAGTCACTGGTGGGAAAGTATGTTTGTGTACCTTTGTGATCTGCTGCTGTTTACTGCTCTCTGCTTCAAAGACAAAGTTTTAATTAAATCCAGGCGGGCAGATTGCCAGAGTTCTCCACACTTTTGGCTCACCTGGGTGTGCAGCCTAAGTGTAGGTTATGCCATTTGGAAATACCTGTGCTCCTGTCATTCGCAAGGTAAAAAAAAAAACAATTGTTACCGCAGGGAAAAAGAGTTTTTCTTCCACACAAGGGCAAGGAATCTATGACTAAGATGCTCATTCTGGTGGTGAATATGAACAGTGTAATTTGTGTAGCATTCCTTAAGGTAACAAAAGTAGGAAGCAGCAGACTGGGAACGTATGGAATCCTTTGTCTTAATTAAAAATATAGTGGGAGATGTGGAATTTGGCCAAGCCTCATAAATCTGCTAAAAAAGCATCAAGACTCTGTCAGATAAGTTTAACTAGAACCAAAGGAGCCCTCTGGAGAGTTAAATAGATTCCCCACTCGTGTGGACACCCACTCTCCTGTCACTTTCTCGCGCTCTGCAGGCAGCAGTGGTGCTCATTAACCAGCAACCCGCCAACTCGCCGATGACAAGCTTATCCCCCTGGAGCACACGATTCAGAGATGATAAATTTACTCCCGCTTATAAAAATGAAACTCTCCTCGGGGCAATAAAAACACTCTGAGCCTTTAGGAAATAAGTTCTTTATCTGATAACCCACCTTCATTAACAAAGTCTGGTCCCCTTGGTCGGGACAGCTCTTCACTGCCAGGGAGAACTGCTTTAAGGCAACTGGAAGGAAAGAAATAGAAATGGTGACTACTTCACTTCCTACTCTGAGCCCTTCTGATATGAAGGAGGACAGTGTGGTTACAACAGACGTAAATGGCATGCTGCTCGTTCTTCCTTGGTGACATGGCAGAGCTCCCCAGCTGTCCCATGCATGGGTCAGGGGCCCCCACACAGTGACTTCTCCACCCCATCAGCTAGAGTCATTATATCAGAGTACAAGGCCATTCCCATCAGCAAAGCTCCTTCCTAAGCCGCCAGGAGGTCCTGGGTTCAGCTTCCTTGTGGGCCATCTTGTCCCCAGAGATGACACTGTATCCCCATTTCCTGGGACCTTCACTGAGAGGACTGCACCTGCCTCTCTAAGTTTGACAGTGCTAATTTTTAAAATCTCAGTCTTCCATCATGACTTCCATGGGTTTAACTCCTCTCTTGGTTTATGGCCCCAAATGTTGACTCAAACCCCACAAACTCCCCCAAATATATCAAGTCATCTTTCTCCAACCAGCCTTCTCAAGGAGAATAGGGAAGAGAAACCTAAGAAGGCTTATGGGGAAAAAAAAAGTTTTAATCAGACATTGAAATTGGCCATGAAAGCTCCAGGAATGTTAATCTAGAAAATTTACACAAATTACATTCCCCTTCTCATATTTGTGGCCGGGTTCTCATCAAAGGCTCACTTATGTGGTCACCAATTTTTATTTTGGTATAAGCCACAGGCTGCCCTCCCTATAGGATGTGTTGACTATATTATTTCATGCTTGAAAATGCTCCCACAATTCTCTGCCACTGTCAGATTTAAATCCACTTATTTGACAGGCATTAAGGCTTTTACCAAGTTAACCCATCCAGATTAGCCTCTGATTGCTATATTCAAAGCTGCATTCTCTCTTTGCCCGCTGTAACCTTTCATTCCTGTCTGCTGGGAACAGCTGGGCCTCTTATCTTTGAGTAGAGCAAAACTCAGTCCTCCACTTGAACATCCCAAGCCCATGCATCCAGCCAATAAAGCCATTTACTGCCCTCTGGTCCTATGCAACCCCTACAGATCCCACAAAGGTGGGCAGAGCTAAACTCAGCCTCAAGACTGAGGGACAATTGGGTTCCAATGATTTGGCCTCAAGCATGTCTGGATGTCTTGTCTACAAATACAGATATTTTAAAGAGAATGATATCAGCAATACTGAATTTTCATCAAGAAAATATTGTCTGGGTAGGTTTGTTTGTAGTTTTCAATGCTACTCTAAAATACAATTCCTTAGACCGCTTTCATCTCTGACTAAATTACACCATGCAGTCTTGACTGCTATCAGTCATACCTGGTGCTGTTTATTTCTTCCAAGTCTAAATTTTGCTCTTACCCAGTCAAGACATACTTAGGATCCATAGAGAGATCAATGTTGCCTTCCACAGCCTCTCCAATGCATATACCCACCCAGTCTTCAATTGGCTGAAGCCAGTGTTAATTACACAGAACCATCAATTGAATCTTTTTTAAAATTAACTTTGCCAATAAAAGGGGCTCAGCAGAAACTTGTACAGGGAGATAAGGGCCCATGCTGTGTTAAATTTACATGAATGCTTTTGCTCTCACCCGTTCAGAATACACCAGCCTGGGAAAGACCCTGTAGGTAAGACCTCTCTCCCCCAACTCTGTCCTCAGTTTTGGACTTTTGCTGTGACCTGATTTGGTGTGACAACATATTGATCTCTGAGGATGGCTAAAGAATAATCTACGAATTCAAGTGCTAGGTTTTCTTCAGCTCACCATTTTAAGGCAGCTATTTTATTTGATAAAGGTGTATGCTATAACTTAGAATCTTACTTACTGCAGGTCAGGGAAATTGAAACACTTGACTTGCTTCCTTAGAGTTACTGGATTCTTACCAACAGCTCTCTCCTCTCTTTGGTGACCCTGCATTCATGCTTCTCACTTCCTGTGCACTGGACTCCACTGTAATACTTTTCATTGTCACAGACATAGCAACCACTTCAAGTTACCTTGAACTCTGTGCATCTAATCCAAACCAAATGACATCCATACCAAGATAGCCCTTTCCAGCATTTTTCCATTTCTGTGGGACCGTCATCCTCCAGCCACTAGCCCACTGAGCCTGATTCTTTGATTCCTTCCTCAGGACCCCATGTCTGCTGACTCTTGTACAATGATGTCACTTGGATGCATCCCTTTCCACAGCAGCACTGTCACTTTGATCCCTGGAGAAACTTCTTGCTCATTCCTAGCCTCCATGCCCACCGCTGCCACCACTCTGAGCCTGGCCCTGCTGGAGCCCTATGCCTATGCCCTGCATTCCTCCTCACCACTCCAGGCCTAGCCCCTCTCCCCGAAGCAAACTACCCTGATGGCTCCTGACTCTCACTCACGCAGGGTTCCATCTTGTGCCATGTGCTCCCTCCCTGTATCTGCAGGTTGGCCAGGATCTCACCTGATACGGTTTGGTTGTGTCCCTAACAAAATCTCCTCTTGAATTGTAGTTCCCATTATCCCCACATGTTGCAGGAGGGGACCCAGTGGGAGGTGATTGAATCATGGGGGTGGTTACCCTCCATAATGTTCTCATGGTAGTGAGTTCTCATGAGATCTGATGGTTCTATAAGGGGCATTTCCCCTTCTGCTTGGCACTTTTCCTTCCTGCTGCCATGTGAAGAAGGACGTGTTTGCTGCTTCTTCCGCCATGATTGTAAATTTCTTGAGGCCTTCCCAACCCTGCAGAACTGTGAGTCAATTAAACCTCTTTCCTTTATAAATTACCCAGTCTTGGGTATGTCTTTATTAGCAGTGTGAGAAAGAACTAATACATCACCCTTCTCCAGGGCCATGATGGGAAGGGTGAACACAGGCCTGGGATCAGAGAGAGCTGACTTTAAACCTTCCCTCTGCCACCTCCAGCTGCATGTTCTTGGACAAGTCACAGCCTTGCTAAGCCTCACTTCCTCATCAGTGATGTGTGGAGCCTGGAGCCCACTTGCTGGAGCAGGTGTGAGGCTGTGTATGAAGAAATGATGCTGACAGTGAGTCTGCACTCCATCTCAGGTTCCTGTACAAAGCCTTCTCTAAGTCTCCCCTCTTCCCTGTTTGATGTCTTGATGTGACACATGGCACATGGGGTTTCTCTTTCCCAATCGGTCTCTAGTGTTTAGATGTCTGGGCTGCCCTGGCCTCAGGAGAGGGCTCAGGAGATGGACTTGGGTCCTATTCCAGACTCTATCCTGTCCCCATCATGTCCAGCATGTCCACAACCATGACCCCATTTTGTAGAACTGGACTGAAGTAGGAACACAAGGCCAGACTTTGGTCCAGTTCCCTTCAATGGGCTAGCTGAGCATCACGTGACTAGCAGCCTACAGCCATTTCTACACAAATGACAAGAACCAACCTTGGGAACAGAGGCCCCACAAAAGCAGCATGCCCCTATGTCTCAGCTTTTCTCCCAACCCCAGGTGTCGGTGTGACACAGGCTCCTATGCCGGTACAGGTTTCTCTCTCCGCTCATCCCACTCTCGTTTCTATCGAATCACAAGAGAGAAGAAGGGGTGAAAACCATTAGGTTTGCATAAAGACATACCCAAGACTGGGTAATTTATAAAGGAAAGTTTAACTGGCTCATGGTTCTGCAGGTTTGGGGAGGCCTCAGGAAACTTATAATCATGGCAGAAAGGGAAACAAACACATACTTCTTCACATGGTGGCAGGAAGGATAAGTGCCGAGTAAAAGGGGGAAAAGCCCCTTATAAAATCATCAGCGCTCATGAGAACTCACTCACTGTCATGAGGACAGGTCTGTGTGGCCACTTTCCCTGATAGCTGATTCACTGACAACTTGCAAGAGAAGCCTCATGACAGGCTGACATTTCACATCCCCTCCCTTCTTCCTCCCCAACTTTTAAATAGAAGGGAAAAAAACCTGAAAATGAAAGCATTTGTTGTATTTGCTTTTCTCTACCTTTGCTGCTGATTCAAGGGGCGGACTGCCTAATGAAAATAAGATACGCAGCCAAGCAAGTGCCGACAAAATGTAAGGTCTCCCTGGGACATGAGCCTCCCTAAGGGACTCTCAGCGGAATCACCTTCTTGCTTCAACATTTATCGTCTCAACTGCTCTAAAGTGTTCTAGTACCATTCATGGCGGTAGTGGGAGGCCGAAGCTTCCACCTGTCTGAGTAGAATCATGTTCTCCTTGGTTGAACCTTTCTACCTTTGTGTGACAAAAGGGAGAACAAGAGACTTTTAGATATCAAGTAGCTTTGAGGTTGGGATCAGGAAGAGGAAGCATAGGGAAATAACCACCTGATTCAAGTAAAAAAGGGTCACTTTGGAGAAAAAAATACGGAGCAGCATGAAATAGGTTTCCTCTTTGTTGTATGTGCTGCAATCAGCAGTAAATTACCTACAATGGCCTCATCCCCTGCAGTCACTGCTGCAAGGTAGAACCTTACAAAATGGGAGATACCTAAAACTCAAGGAAATGGTTGCACCTAGAATAAATTTCATTATAACATGCTGTTTCAAATCAAAACACACAATACCACTGTACTGATTTTCCACTTCGAAATATTGCTGGTCAGTCTGGGCACCTATCACTAAGTTAGCAGGTACAATTGACCCTGACCCATAACCTGCACCCGGGGCTACAGTGCTCAGAAATCCTGTCTCAGGATGTTCTTTCAGCTTCTTTCTCAATCTTTGTGCCAGGGCCCAGGGTAACAGGAACCCTGCCTCTGAGGCTAAGCTTTAGAGGACCCTGCCCACGGGGCTACAGGGACTGCCCACCTGGAGCCTGCACTCACTCCTCCAGGGACCAATACTCTGGTTTCCTGACCTTAAGCCTCTTTTCTTCGATGTGTTGTTACTAGTGAGCCACACCACTGCCGTGTCTACTCTAGACCCGTGGGGTGACCAAGGGGCAGCCAATTGCAGGGGTGTGGACAGACCTTGAGTGTCTAGACCAGAGGATCTGCACGGTATGGGGTGGAGCTGGAGG